GAAGTTAATGAAGTTGTTAGTATATTTGAATTTATATCTGTCTTACTGTTTACTATATTTTGCCCTGTTTATCTTGTTACTCATTTTTCTTATTTAATTTTTAATTTTTCTGCTTTCCTTTGGTATTTGCTCATAGCTTCTGTGCTTTTTACTTTTTTGATGTTCTTTACTCTGACATGCCTTTGCCTCTTCCAGGGAAAATAAACCTTTCTAAATCTTTAACTTGGTTTATTTCTATGTCATTTATATGCTTTTTTGAATCTCACCTTTATGTCTTAAAGTCCATTTTACTGTTGTTATTGTTGTTGTTTTTAAAGAATAGAATTCATTCAGCAGTGCCCATATAATCACTGTTTGATTTTGTTTGATTCTGTCTTGCTCTCAGCCTCCTCTCTGCTGCCATTTCCCTCTTACTGACAGGCTCTGGTTTCCCCTAACAAGAGTCTGCTGTTGATCAGTTTCTCTTTTTGTTTTACTCATCATGCCTTTATTTCACTTTAATACTGGGAGATATATTTGAGAGATAAACAAGTCTAGATAAGCAGCTGTTTTCTTTGATTGTAATATTTCTTGGACTGAACATGATTGGCCTTACTGTACTGTGGCTGATTGACCTTACTGCAGTCTTCTCTAGGTTTGGAGTATTTTATGTTATCATTTCTTTGACTGAAGCTTACACCCTTGGACATTCTTAAATTCTTTTAGAATTTGTTCTTTCAATGCTGCTCATGGTTCCTGTCATCTCTCTTCATTCATCTCCACTTCCCCATGTTCCCCTCTTTTCTTGTATATTTTCAAATAATCTGTATTTAAGATAATCAGAACCTTCTTCTGTTCGACAAATTATATGATTGTTTTTTTCTATAGAATTTTTCATTTCACTGTACTTTTCAACTTCAGGGTTTTGGTTTGAGTTTTTAAAAATTTATTTAATCCTTTCTGTTAAATTTCTCTGATAAATTAATTATTTCTCTGTGTTTGCTTGAGGTTCATTGAATTTCTTTAATATGTTCATCACAGGACTATACGTGTGCTGTGCTGCTAGGCAGCTCTGATTTGAATTTGATTGTTCTTGCTGCTTGAAGCACTGTAGTACGTGCACCACTGTCCCACCAGGTGGCTTGTATGGCTTCGTAGTGGATCTTTGGTTATAGTAACACAGAGAAATGGGATGTTAGCAGACCAAGTGTCATCTTAGTTTAGTTCCTTTAGGAAAACATTAAAATGGCATAAAACATTGTAATACAACTAATTTACGGTTTGTTTGGTTGGTTTTGGTACTGGGAATCAAACTCTTGACCTCATGCTTGCCGGGTGGACTTTGTGCTGCGGAGCTTTATCCCCAGCCCTACAACTAACTTATGGTACAGTAGTTGTACACACATATTATATATGCCATGGTGCAATTGTAAGATCTCTAAGTTAAGATCTGGAGAGTTAATTATTGATATACTAATAACCCATGAAGAAATGCCCTGAGTACAAATTGCTCAAAAATAAATTTGTTGATTTCAAAATTGGTATGAATACTAACATAGAAATATTTCATTTAATGGTCAGGTTGCACTCCTGCAATTGGGTTGGTAAATAAATTGGTCACTACGTGGGGAATTATACATAGTATGTGCATTATAATATTTAGAACAATGAAATAGTCAAAGGAATTCCAATTTAATGGTTTTACTTTGTATAACATGCAGTACTGTGATGCATAACAACATAAAACTATGGTACTATACAGTACAGTCAACAAAAATTATAGTACTATATAAACAAGATGTACTCTACAAAAGACAGTGAAGCCCTATAAACAAGATGTACAGAACTGTACATAAAGAAAGATGGCTCTACATCCAAGCAGTGGTCATAAGTCTGAAACACACACCTCAGCTGTAAGTCTGAACAATTGTTAAACAAGTAGGTTGTTAAACATGGAATATTTGCAATTAAAATTTCTATTGAGGCAGTAATTATTTAAATTCAAGAAACCAACTGGACTTCGTCTGCTTATAGATTTTTTTATTAAGTTTCTTAGTTAAAAGATTGATAGAAATGACTAGATGCACTTGTAACATCAGTAACACAAGTTGCCCAGTGGGAAAGCTGTGTTTACCACAGATAGTGCAAACTGAGAGGAACATGTAAAAAATATTTTAAATTCTCTGAGAGATTTCGTATACTCACCACTTTATGGTCAATTTCTGGTGTCTTATTTTGTCCATTAGGAGAGTCATGATCCCCTGAAAACTCTTGATATTTGTTAGTGTATGACAATGCTTCCACCTTAAGGGATTATTTATTCCATCATTGTAATCTGAATTTGTTTATGCCCATCTATGCAGAAATTCTAATAAGAGTCTTGATTATGTTCCCTGGGCTTGCTGTCATTGCTGCTATTTCAGTCCTATTTGGTATGCTAAGTATAGATTCACCATGAGCTTGGAGTTTGAGGTGTTGTCACTGTTTTAGCAATAGAGGATGCCCCAAGCCCAAGTTGGTCACAAATCTGCAGCTAGTATTGTGTTCAGGATTCTTAGAGGGATTAGCTAAATGCAATAATCCAACCCTGACAGATCATGAAGAATCCTCACCCACAACCACTCACCTGTACTCAGGTGTTACAGCATTCTGCCTGAGAGGGGGAGCCCTCTGTCTCCATGGACCATATATCGCTGTATCACACTTGGAGTCTACCACCCACCAAGAGCAGCATAGCACAGGGGCAGACCAAGGCTCTCCTTTTGTGGCCTGTTTGCTGCTATTATCTCTGTGTAACTGGAGAGCACTGTCACCTTCCAGAGATGATGCACACTGAAACACAAGGCCATCTGCTACCTTATATGCTTTCTCATCACTGAGACACAATACCTGGATATGGCCTGGGGTCGTGAGCTGTTGGTTTTTCCCCAGTATTGCGTTCTACCATGTCAAGTCCAGTACTGAGTTTCAGGACAAAGTTTTAAGCTTGCTTTCTTAGGAGTAGAAAGTATTTATTGAGAGAAAGAAAGCTTCTGTCTAAGAGGAACGGAAGGGTGTTCCAAGTGAGTAGCCTCTAAGCTTACTCTTTGCTTGTTTCTACACCTAAAAAATGGAATGTTTCCCACTCTGTGTTGCTAAATGTTTGGGCGGGAAGATGGAGGTAATCTCTTGGCCACCAAGACTGATACTAAGCTTGGTCACATTGGACAAGGACCAGTGCACATTGCAGCTTCAAAGACCCTAGGAGCAGGGGCCATGAATTTCACGATCACAGGTGTGATACTAGGTTCCAAGTCTAAGGCTTACACTTGGTTCCTTTCTTTCTCTGAGAATAGGCATGTCTGTCCACACAGAACTGCTTAGAGTTGAGGAGGGAGGTACTTGCAAACTCTTCTTGTCTTTTTCAATGTATGTTTTCTAAATATTATGTCAAAACCAGGAACTATAATTTCTCACCCAATTTCTTTAGCTCTTGTAAAGATAAACCTGTGCATGAAAAGTTGTGTAAGTGCATGTTTCAATGGAGAAATAATAACAGGAAGACGTTTTTCTGCTTTCTTGCTCTTTCTCCTTTTTATTTTAAAATTATAGTTTAATAAAACAAATGAACATACCAATTATAAAAGTCTTACAGTGTGTAATTCTGTGGCTACTAACTCTAGACATTGTTATGCATTAGATTTTTATAATGTATTCAACTTGCACTGTGACAGGTAAATAACTCTCAACCTGTTAGATGTCAGATGAGCTGAACTCATATCTCTTGATACTGAAGAATAGATTTCAAGGATAAAGGTTAAGAATGGGGTGCTTATTGCAAAGAAAAAACTCCTGAAAGAAGGAAGATGGTCACTGAGGCTTTTTGTGAAAGAATATTTTATAGAGAAAAATCACATCTAGAAACAATGTGG